TGACTATTAAGGCAACAGTCAAATGCGCTGGCATGTCAAAACCATGCGAAGAATGCTGTCCCATAAAGCTGATAGGCAAGATTAGAATTATTGTTATGTTATAGTTATTGTAGTCGGAAGTTACCCCATCGCTTGAACTTCCTCCTTGGGAGCTCACAAAAACACTTTCGTAAGCAGGCTCCTGGTGTAAATGCCCGTAAAGAGCTTAGGATCGGTACTACCGAATAACCCTGGCGAATAAGCGATTTCTCGCTCACGACAAAGCTCAGTGAGACTAACCTACTGTAGACACTTAATTGCGATCAGAGACAACTAATCATGCCAACTGACATTTATTGATGAACCGGAGTCAAGCATTATAATATCAAGCTAGAAACCGGATTTACCCTTTTCTTGCAGCAAACACCTATGAAATAGTTAGTAGGCGTTCGGAGCCCGTTTCGGAATCGTAGTGCGCTAAGAGTGCAGCCGCAAATGCTCAATCAGTACGACCAGCCAGTAATACATATCGCCCATCTTTGTCTCGATTCCTACCAAGCCATTGCTCTTGAGACTTTTCAAGGAATGAGTCTCTTCAAGGAAGTGGGAGAATGTTATCCACTGAGGGAAGTCACAACTGACTACGCCTTTTTTCCCTTTGCCTAAAGAACCCAAAACTTGAATTTCCTGACCCTCCATCAACAATCCCATCCACCACCAGTGGCTTTGGCCGCTAAAGGTTCGCGAGGTTTCCTCGTACCTCCGAAATTGAATCTGGAACGAGTCACTGGCTAAAAAGGAACTCATTCCAGACCTTGAAATAAGTCATGTTTTTTGGCTTCTTCAGGAAGAAAGCGCGGCAGAAACATCTTTTTCCAAAACATACCTTTTTTGAGAGCAAAGAATGGTGCCCTTTGAGCCACACGCAAAAAAGGATTTGTGGAGCTGCTGCAATAATCCTTAACAAAAAACAGCCAGTGCAACTCAAAAAGGAACTGACAGGCAAATTTTCTCCCATTTTTTGACATATCCTCCCAGCTATTGCAGAATAGTTGCACTCCATAGGAATTAGCTGAATTAGGCACGCTAAAACCACTCCGTTATACATTGAAAAACTAATTGCGGCTGATTACCAACTTTTCCTCTTGCCTAACAGTAACACGTTCCAGCCAGAAGAAAACCTTCTGGGATCATCCCGGCTTCTATTGATGAATAGGAAGAGGGCACTATTTTACTTGGCTAATTATTTTGATGCTATCGGCACAAAGCGTTTCCTCAATCCCGAAAAAACACTCCTTTTCTACAATTACGCCGCTGACAAATGGCAAAAAAATATAAATCCTCTGGTTGAGAAAATGAAGTTCTAAGCTTACCAAAAATTGAGCCCTTCATGACTTGAAAATTAAACGTTGTATTCCCTATTACTGACATACTGGAACACCACGGTTCCCTTATGATTAGACCAAATCTACCACGGAAGTGAAGAGGCTTTGTCGCAATCCTCTCAGTAATTTTAGAAATTATTGTCCTAACTGCACGTCAGAAAAAATATTCGGATAATGCGTACTTTCTTGAAAAACCATAATGCTGCTTAAAAGAAGCTAACAAACAGACTAAGTATTCCGGAAGAAATGTACGATCAGGACAATTTGCAAATAAAAGCACGCAAATGGAAGTGACCGAAGCATCGCTGCTGAATCACGGCTGAAAGCAGTGCTAACAGTAAGAGCTGGTCGGCATTTGTATTCAGGCGAAAAATTTATTCTACATCACCTTATTTGTAAAGAAAACCCTGTCAAATCGAACCACCAAACCTTCATTATGCCATGAGGTGATCCTATAGAAGCGTCGTAAGAATTTCTAACAGAGGCAATCCACAGTAGTAGACAAATGAGGATCAGATTGAAATTGCGGATCGTTTCGCATAATGTGATTACTGGTTCTCTGCTTCTCGCATCCCTCAAAAGTTTACAGACACCGGCAATTGGCTGCTTTGCATTTGTGGGCTTAAATAAGTTCGAGCGATAGATGTTGGGGCCGGTCAGACTTTGGCAACCCATCGAATCGCTAATCGATTCGTCAAGCCTGGCATCGGCCTATCGTGTTGAGAGCCATCATACAATTGCAGCTACCATTCGAGGGCCTCGCGCAGCTAATCCAAAAACTAATAACTGCACCTGTGTTCACCTGAGTGGATACCTTAATATGAGCCGCACACCATTGTCATTTTAGTATTAAAAAATACTGCCAATATGAAAAAATATGAGCTTTTAAAAGTGTCCCGTTTAGACGGTTCCTTGAAAGCTCCCAAAGTGGCTGATGAAAAATTCCAACAATGTAAACCCACACGTTTGGAAATGTTATTTAGTGAAATGGTAATCGTTGAAATAAAGATCGTGCTTGATTCCAATAATACTGAGGAACCAAAGAATTGGAGCTAGCACCATCCGCGCCCTTTCGGTGTGGGTACACACTGCCAATCTCTACAAGCAAAAGCCAAAAAACCTACCAGTACTCACAACATCAAGCTCTCAAAGGGGCCATCGGTATGAGAACGAGGTCAGAAGAAAAAACCTCCGCGAACGGAAAATCACATATCTTGGATCATGAAAGGCTAATCTCTTCCTGCTGGTGCCGCGCTTTCGCCATAAACTTTTATGTCAGCGATGCCGTTCCATTGAAGCGGCTGTTCACAAATTCCTACTGTACCTAATAAATTATCTCGGAATGTTATGCGGGCTCATGGCGCTAACATTCAGATGCTGAGCACAGGTGGACAGGATGCTTACTGCACGCATTATTTTGTAAATAAATGAACTATATGAGTAATTGAAACGGAAATAAACCTGCGCATTCTTCGCGATTAATTTTTCTTCGCAAAATACTGCTATTCTGCATATCGCTGGAGATTTTCATAGGAATCGAGCGAAAAAAATTGGTAATCGAATCGCTCAAAAACAGGACAAGCTTCATAGGAGCGCAACTCCACCACATTGTTCAGCAGAAATAGGCTCTATGTCGGTGATTATTTTCGTCCTAATTGCCCTTCTAATTAGTGAGACAAGAAAGTTACGAAATTATAAAGTACTAGACCTTCTACATAAGAAAATCCCTAGACCCAATGGCGAGAGAATCGAAGAAAATAAATTGCTCATAAAAAAAACTTGGACCAAGTTTGGCATTTAAGATGGCGGTTTGTCGTTTGCACGGCGCTACCGCACGTTTGATACTTATTTTTTATGTTCATTAGTCTTTGAGATTCTTAGGCTCTACTGCAGCAATGCACTTTGTACTATACCATTCAGCAGCTCTCGAACGTGTACATTTTCAAGCCACATGCAACTCGAAGTTGAAGAGTCTCGATCGATTACAGCGGCACAATGACATCAGCATCCTGCACATCTTATCTCTCAGTTGCTCAATTCTGCACACGAACACTCACCGTTATCAGCTTCAATTGCGTCGTCGGCGAGCTGCACACGAACAGCGGGTGGAGGAGTGGCAGATGATCTCTGAGCCGATTTCACCGCGTCCACTGGACGCATCGGTGAGACGCTACCACGACGTGGCGAGTCTGCCGACGCCACGAGCAGCTCGACGACCGGAACGAACATCTGATCCAGACCGGCCGGCGCCGAGCCCTTGCGGGCGCGTTCTGAGGTTTCCTTGGCACGCTTCCGTGAGAACGATGGCGATCGTCGACGAGATATCAGATCAGTGAGTCCACCGATAACGTCGGTGAGGCGATATTGTCGTGATCCAGCCGCCATAACCAGTAGTTGCCGATTCAGTCGCCGTCAATTTTGCAGCACATCAGAATCAGTGCTGCACGATCAATGATTGCAAAAACGAAACCGGAGGTATTATGATGGTCTTGGCTGCCCATTCACTGTCGACTAGAGGGCAAGGCCAGTGTGCATAGAAAAGCGAAATACTGTACGTGAACTCAAAACCAATTTCACGAAGCCCCAACACACCGCCCTCTCCTCGCCGTGATCCGAGAATGGGCAAACAAGGCAGGTGCACCAGCGGAAATAATATGCGTAAAATGGCGATGAGTCAAATGTAAAGAATCGAAGTTCGATGAGATGGGGGGTATCAAAGACGTGGTGACTCACGTAGGAATGCAAAAATGATTGAATTGGTACCACTTTTGAATCATTCTCAGAATGAAGTCATGGTGGAAAAGCGAACTAGTGAGAACCGAAGGGGAGGAGCAGTTGTGGAAAAGGGTAACTCCTAAGGTTTTTTTTAGAATCTGATCGATACCCAGTAATAGTCATCTTAAATAAATCGAAACAGTAATGAGTCGCTAGAAAACGTCGCTTAATAAGTTCAATAAGTGAGCTATAAAAAGGAATCTGGTACAGATGCCGATTGAGCGGCTCCTGTGTTGGACGACGCCCTAGGGATCTTGAGAGAGTATTACAACCGTGATATTGCCACTCTGCTACTGCTGTCTCCTCCCTCACCACTCCTGCTCTTCGTCCACCACTCCGTCAGCTGTGAACGCAAGGCAGATGGAGGATAGGATGGGGGCAGCGAAGAACGTTCGAGAGAAGCAGGACGACTTGGCCGGGTATGCATTGTCATCGGCAAGTACTACCCCCTTTTCGCCGCCCTACCCATTTTTTATGCTGACGAAATCAATAGACGAAAGTTCGCAGGAAGCAATCTTAAAGCCAAGCCGCTTATTATTACACACAAAGGCGCACAAGCGCATATGTGTCGCGAAAGGACAAAAAAACTGAAAGAAAGAGGGCAGGTCGAAAACGGCAAGAAAGGAGCTCCAGGCGAAGGTGGAGCAGTTAATCCGTTCCTGCCCTTTTATCATCACTTCAATCGATAAGACTGCCGATAGCTTTGAATTCTCACGTCTGCTAGAGCCACAAACTTGAGTGAACGAACGACGAATTTTGTAGATGTTGTTTACAATATGAGAGTCAGCTGTGTTTCTCCATCAACAAGAATAGCGCTGAAGCTGACGCGCTCTTCCCTCTGTTCATTTCTCTCCCTCTCTCTCACAACACTCCTCTTAGTCTCTTGCTCACAAACTTACTCGACAAATGACGAGCAGCAATCATCGTCGTGAGAATCGCACCCTAAACAAAACATTCCTTCAGTGATGATGCTTCCTTTAAAACATGTATTTAATAAATGGAACATCAAAACTATCTTTGTAAAGTTATCCACACATAATGATGGGCTGTGGATGGGCATGTGTACGTTTGAAAGGTTTCCTCAGATATTTATTTCCATGGCCAGGGAGACGGTAGCGATGCGGTCCGTCAGTGCGACACACCATGATTCACCATGAGGCCGTGATTCACCTGCGCATCGCTACCGCGCGCCATTTGAGACCGACCCTTTGAAGAATAAATTTCTGGGAACCACAGGCTACAAGTGCTAATATCATGTAATTGTGTGCGCCTGCGAACGTGCATAAATAGCTGTAGGTTAGCTTTGCGAAAAGAACTTAGCTGGAAATAAGTGCCGCACAAAGAAAGCGTGGTATTTCAGGTCAATTACGGGGACCGACCAGCAAAAGCGTGCATTCCACTCCCTGCCAGTGCCCCGCAAAGGAAGCGTTCGGCTGTTAGTACACAAAAAGAGATATTTGTTATTTTACAAACAAAAAGAACCTCGAAAATGAAGCAGAAGAACAGAAAACAGAAAAGAAAGATTGAAATGAGAAAAAGGAAATGAGAAGGAGCAGCGAAAAAGTTCTGAAAAAAGCAGCAAAATGTTAGCTGAAAGGCCGATCTTTCACCACTGGTGTCATGAAAATCACATCACTGGTGTTCCGCTGCATTTCACAACAATCGACCATCGACAAGAGCTCAATAACGGACAACACGCAACGAAAGAACACACACAGAACGCGAAAGAACATCAAACAATTAAACCATTGAAAGGGCGTCCGTAGCAAGTCTTTCATCTCACGAGGGTTTCTGTCAACTGTCGTTGCAACAACGAAGATGACGCAATGGTAAGGGGATCTTAACCCACCTGAGTGGACTGTAAATCAATTTCCACCCTGGCTAGCAAGCCTTACACTGCTAGAATAAGCATAAATTTGTAATAAGTAGATTCACCTATAAGGGTGAGCGGCCGTGGTGTAGTGGCAAATGCCACGCTTACCACGCGCGCGGTTCAGGGATTAAATCCTGGGTTGCGCGTCGCCCGGGACAAGCCAAGCCTCCCGCGCGCGATCCGGGGAATGATCCTGGGTTCTTGAAGGGACTATGGCCCGGGCCAAACATAATCCCTTCGGGTCGGTTAATTGGTACCAGACTTGTCTGGGAGGATAAAAACACTGACTTGTACATCGGCTGGCCCCCGCAAGTCATTGTATAGGCCACATCGCATTCAAACGCCACTACGAATGTACAAATGGAAGTAGAATGCGTGCCGCATCCCAAAAAGGGATTGATCAACGGCAAATGCTTTATCCTTTATCCATTTTTACTTGTGAGGGTCAAAATAATGCTCTGAGTAAAAAGTTGCCCCGATAATGTTTCAAAAGGACAGACGCGCACAGACACGCTCCAGCACCTCTGAGTAAACAAAACGCGTGTCTGAAAAAGGGATTGACTTCTGCGCTGTGCCAAGATTTAGCACTTCATTTCTTATCCCCCTCCGAAACATGTTCCTCACGAATTATTTAGGCGCTGGAAAATGCCCGAAAAGAAATTCATTTTTGACAGACCTAAAACCTCTCCACCGTGAGGCCAGTGATTTTGTTTCGGTGAAATGTGAAAGGACTAGAAAACGAAATTGCGTCAAGGGTTTGAAAATTCTGTTCCAAAATTACTTCATGATAGGCAACAAACTAATTACGGCTTTCGCAATGGCTGTCCTTCCAAAAGTTGGGAACGTTCCGGGAAAAGTGAACTCTTTTTTACAATCGCGAACACACACCGACATCTAGGCGGAAAGACTTGAGAAACTGACCAAACTAACTTGAGCCCAAGCCCACTCTGCTTGGATTTTAGCCTTTTCGAAGTCACATCTCACGGGATGCTTACTGTACCGAATCCGATGGCGTCTTAGTTATTTCGGAGCATTTAAAGCCAAATATGCGTACCGATTTTGGAGCTCATAGACGTGAAACTAGGGCTAGGGCTTGATGCCCAATTACCTATGCTTATGTGGTTCTAGTGTTCTAGTGTCGTCGAAAATCAAAAAAATTTACATTTCTCTGTCAGAAAAAAAACCAATGGGTTTTTAGAAAGAGAGCTTTCAACTCCTACAAACGTCCTTCCGCATGTTTTTGAAAGCAAACACAATGTATACAAACACAGAAAATTGGAGATCACAGGGATAGCGAAGTTTAGAAAGAGCAGTAAAACAGATCGGTAAAATCATTCAGAAATAAATACCCAACTGTCGCTCGGACGACATGTTATAGTGCAAAAGAACAAATCGTCCAAACGGCCCAGTTACGTACAGCATATCATAACCACATCACACCCTAAGTGGCGGTATGGCCATGGTATGCTTACCCGCAGCAGTTTTTGCAAGAATCTCATATTGGTAAAACGGAGGCATCCTTGCTCCTATAGTCAACGGTAAAAGCCGATTGCTCGACCACAAAACTAGCCGCGGTGTTAGGACAAGCAAACACACAAGAAGTGGAAACGGATATTGGAGCATGCAGTAAGGAGTGTTGTTAGTGCGAAACACTAGATGAATGCTTGGACAGGCTAGTTCGAAAATCAGACAGCAGCCATCTCTGGCTCATGTCCGTAGGAAAGTGAAATTCACGCCTCCTAATGACGCTAAGCCTGAACATGCTTTCAGAAGCCGAGTGTGGTGATTGGAAGCAATGATCGACAAAGGACGGCTGTGATCAGGGCAAAACAAAAAACACAAGGGTCCGAAGCAATTTTCAGCGTTGAAAGCAGCAGCGGCAGCGGGGCTAGTGGTGATTGGTCGTGTATGTGAGATTAGGGGTTGTTGTAGTGGTGCTCGGTACCTCTTGTGTAGGGTGCTGTGGACTGCTGGGTTGTGACGATGATGCTGCCGGTTCGGGTCCGCTGCCGTTCGACGCGACACTGCCAGTCGAATCGCTCGTCCTCAGCACACCACTGATTCGTGTCACCATTTTCACGGCGGAGATCGCGGCCTTTCAGAAGGGCACAAATTCAGGTGAGATCTTTTCTGTACAGTACGAAACAAAGCAAGAACCATAGGTGTGATGAGATATAGTTGGTAGACATAAGAGACTGTCCAGAAAGCCACGCGTCACTCGGAACGTAACGCTGGGTTCACAGTACATTCCAAGCACTTGGTCACGGCACATATCGCAACAAAATTGACAAACACCATGTCGCAGGTGATTTCGTTGAACGGCGCACTGTTGGAAACCAGAAAAGTACTGTAAATACAGCACGAAGCGAGCTCCTAAACCAAGGCTGCGACCGCAATTCAAAAAAGGCATGCCATCCATCGGAACTCAGAGCACAATATAAGAAGATTTTGAGGGGCCTTGGTGAACAGAAAAACGGCACTACGATCTCTTGCTGCTAAAAAGGTGGCTCGCGAAGCTACGTTCGGCTACCCCCGAGCGCACAGGTGTGCTTGCATGGTGGATGTTCCCGTGTGGACATCAGACAACCAGCCGCTGGGAGAAGCGCTTGGAGTGGGTAGAAGGTCCAATTAGCTGCAGCCTAGAATACTAGACTGAATATCACAGCCACGGCGCAACCTGAACTTTGCGCAAGTGTTACTCTCATTGCTTGTCAACCTTGGCTCAAAGGTTTAGAGCAATCCACATAATCTAGAATGCAAGCTCATGGAAAAGAGGTGCATGGATAGTCCAACATGTTGAGGACGTGTGATATGTCATGTCACTTCACAGGTAGCAGGGAAGTTTAACTTTTGGGTTTTTTTTTCGTGTTCCAAAACGGCCTATGTACCTTCTATTTCGGAGAACAAGAAGAGCGTCGAGTGCAGACCACACACCACAAGTGACGACGGCCAAGAAAAAATTAGAGAAAAGCCACTTTTTTCTTGGCCGTCGTCTCTTGTGGTGTGTGGTCTGCACTCGACGCATTTCTCGTTTCCCGAAGTAGAGGGTACATTACTGAGTCCGAACCGCGATTTCGTTATCACTGGTAGAAATCATCAAAGGGTTAATGACTGTTCATGAGAGAATCCCAGAAAAATAGCCGCCATACAAGCACAACGGCGGTAGCCAAGGGTTAACCTCACCAACTGCCCCTAACTTCACTAAGGCGCGATGGACTTGCGCGTGGTTGACACTGTTTTCTAACAGTTGTTATAAGAGTTGAACACAGCAAGAGCCTGGTAATTAAATCACCCAAAAGTCGAAATCAAATGGTAATCGAAATGACATTCGAAACAAAAACGTGAGAACTGGGCAAGAAGCGTCCATCCTTGATGCTAACACTCCCCTCAAATTCCTTGTTTCTGTTTCCTCTGCTTTGTGCTAGGACGAGGACTTTTTCTGGGTCCCATTGAGCTAATGAATGGGTGCTAATTTATCTCATAAAGCTAAGCGCAACTTTTCAGACAGCTTGGCAAAGTCAAGATAGGTCTGTGAATTTTAAAAGACAAAGGATAGAATAGACAGCGCCACAACATTCGTATACATTTGCTCATTCTGTTCACATCATGCAAAAATCAGCGGTTGAGCACTAAGATTGACACCATCCACACTCCAGCCAATCACGGCAAAAGGAAAAGGAAATAGAAGGAACGCAGCATGCGATGAGTTGCGTAAAACTCCAAGAACAAGAATCCAGCACGCACGTACATAGGTGACAAAGGCCCAGTGGACTCTGTGAATAGGGATGAGGCACAGAGGTGGCGATTGAAGAAGAAGAGCGAGAAGAAGCAGAAGAAAAATAAAACTGCTCGAAAGTGATGTACCGAGCGCGTTCGTCGAGCATCCCATTCGCAACAAACCCATTCATTCAATTATTTCTGCCTACGGTCTTCGCTAGGAATCTGGACTACTTCGGACGAGCCCTAGTCGTCTGACGCCTCACGTCTTTAAGCTGCAACTATCCACAAACAAGCCAAATATGGTCAAATACACGGTCGGCATCAGATCACATAAGGCTCTCTCCGACAAACGCCAGACTCCTGCTTCGGACTATAGGCAGACTATGATACTCACACTAACGATACATCAAAATATACATGGTTGATAATGGAACTCAAAAAAAAACATGGCCGAATACGATGCAGTTGCACTATGCTATTACGAATGTACGCAAATTGAATGAGTAAAATTCAAAGTTCAAGTGCAATACAAACAGGGATTAGCGTCTCTCAAGTGATACTGGGCACGGCTCGGAAGGTGCCTGTCAGGGTTGAGCAAGAAGTTTGCGGAGCCAGAAGCTCAGTAAGAAGCACCCAAATTAAAAGGCATTTCTTAAATAAGTAGAAAAAAACTTTGTACAAAAACAGTTGGATTTGAAGCAGAAATGATCTTCAAAGGCATGGGTCGCGATCGAACTGGTGCGTCATTTCGCTCGAAAATATAGGTGCAAAATGGATTGTCACTGAGAAAAAAG